CATTCCTCTTGCACCCCAACCATTCCTCTTGCACCCCACCCATTCCTCTTGCACCCCACTCATTCCCCCTTCCACCTCACCCCGCCTATACCATCACCTCTTATCTAAACAACCATCTCCTACACCTACCCCGGGGCCATCACTAAGTCATGCACCAAACTGAACAACACCAATATCAACCATCTCCCGAAATACAATGTACCACCACCACCACCCTGTCAACCACTACTACCATCACCACCCTGTCAACCACTACTACCATCACCACCCTGTCAACCACTACTACCATCACCACCCTGTCAACCACTACTACCATCACCACCCTGTCAACCACTACTATCACCACCCTTACTGTCAACCATTATCACCACCACCCTCACTGTCAACTACTACCATTACCCCCACTGTCAACCACTACGCCTTGACCTTTCACTGTCAACCACTACCACCACCCCCACCATCAACCACTACCACCACCCTCACCATCAACCACCACCACCACCATATCCACTAACACCATCAATATCTCATGCTCCTTCAACATGCCACACAGCAAACTAAGCAGCCCCATACAGCCCTCCCCCCTCCCCACCCTCCAGCCCTCCTCCTCCCTCACCCCAGTTCAGAGGATCCTCACCCACCCCACATTCCTGACCCCACCACACACACACACACACACACACACACACCATAAGGCCTCCTTTGTCACTCTATTCATTCCTGACATCTTCCCAGCACCCATGTATAGTTCCTTAATCTTCCAGGCCTATCTACACATACTAAGGCCTATACACACACAACCCTAAGACCTATATACACACCCTAAGGCCCTACACACACACACACACACACAGCCAAGATGCACGGAGCAGATGTAGTAGCCTCGCCCTGCCCCAAGCTATACCCTGGGTCATGAGAAGAGCTTTACCACAACCCAACCCCACCACACACTACTACCACCATCAGGGTCACTACTACTACTACCATCACCACCACCCACTCCCTCACTCTCCATCACCACTCCTTCACTTTCCATCACCACCAATTCCCTCCACCCTCACCACCACAACCACCCACTCCCTCTCTCCTTCCCCCTCTCACCACCACCACCTCCCTCTCACCACAACCACCCACTCCCTCCCTCTCTCACCACCACCACCACCACAAACTAGTCTCAACTGTCGAAAACTGACACTGTTAGTGACCAATCGACGAGTGTGTCAGCTTACACCACTAATGACACAGCTCGACAAAGGCGCCGCCCTAGCTCCCACCAACTACAGAAAGGCAAGTCGTCACACCTCTAAATAGGGTGACGGTCATATTTATAACACTGACACATAACTATAGCAAAAGTCTGAAACGTCAAAATTTACAAGACTAAATTGTTACTTTTCCAGTGTCAAAAACTCGTTAAGTCTGACCTCTAAATATAGGCGACACTTGACCTTTAAACACAAGTCGATATTTGTAGGTGTGACCTCCATGTATTGCCAATAGGTGACGCGGCAGAAAGGGGGACGCAAATTGGTGTTTCTTGTATAGTAACATGATATCACCAGGAGTCTGTCTGGGGCTATTTTTAGTCCTGGCGGTATTCTTAGTCCTGGCGGTATTCTTAGGGCAGGCGGTATTCTTAGCACTAGCGATAATCTTAGCACTAGCGATAATCTTAGCACTAGCGATAATCTTAGCACTAGCGATAATCTTAGTACTAGCGATAATCTTAGTACTAGCTATAATCTTAGCACTAGCGATAATCTTAGCACTAGCGATAATCTTAGTACTAGCGATAATCTTAGTACTAGCGATAATCTTAGTACTAGCGATAATCTTAGTACTAGCGATAATCTTAGTACTAGCGATAATCTTAGTACTAGCGATAATCTTAGTACTAGCTATAATCTTAGTACTAGCGATAATCTTAGAACTAGCGATAATCTTAGTACTAGCTATAATCTTAATTATAGCTAAATCTTAGTATAGCGATAAATCTGAACTAGCGATAAATCAGTACTGAGCATCATAGTACTAGCTATAATCTTACTGCTGGCCATAATTTGGAGGAAAGTCTTTATAACAGAGAGACAGAGCCAAGGCTGCCTTATAATATTCGCTCCAGGGAAAATGGCGTAAATTTCATTCCTCCCTCCCCAACACCGTTATTTTAAACACTATACTGGCAACTGTATACCTTGACCTATAACGTAATTTGACTCATATGACCAACAACGTGTGCTGTACAGGACCAATAATGTATTAGCCATAGGACACAATCCAGTCATCGTGTACAACTCCATGGTCACTCGATACCTGAAACAACAGTAATTACCTGTTACCTGCGTGTCAACACCCAGGTAATTACTGAATAGGTAATCTAAAAAAAAAAGAAACTCACTCATTTCTACCTTACTTTGAATTCAGTTTCATCAAATCGTCCCTGGCAATAGTAATTACTCTTCACATATGGACCTGGACTTAATAAATAATCGTAATAATAATAATAATAATAATAAAACAATCTTTCGTCTGTTCCTACGTATAAACCAGAGAGGCTTACCAATAGGATTGGACTCCCATTAAGACTGTGAACGGATCTCTCTCTCTCTCTCTCTCTCTCTCTCTCTCTCTCTCTGGGGGAGTCCTCACGTGTAAGACACAGCAAAGAAAAGTTAAGAACCACTCGAGTAATATACAGTAGACCCATTTACTGACCCTTAGATAAGTTTATACAGTAAAACCCTCCATTTAACGGACATCAATCTAAAAGGAATAGTTCGTTAAATGAAGGTTTCACATCTAATGGACTTCGATATAATAGACTGTTATAAACAGGGACCTCGATATAATGGATTGTACTCTCCCATATAGTCCGTTGTATAGACTCCTCACATCTAACAAATCTCGATATAACGGACGACTCTCATATAGTCCGTTAAATAGAGGTGTGATTGTACTCGGATAACAGAGTACAGCCAAGAGTTCCTGTCCAGAGAGCGCGAGAATAGAGAGTATCATTTTGTTTACAGTGATATTATAATTTAAGTGAAGACCTAACCTAACCTAACCTAACCTAACCTAACCTAGCCTAGCCAAACCTAACCACACTAGCGCCTTAAGATGATATTGACCTTGGAACCTGACGCCAGAGCTGAGGTCATAAACGTCACCACACTCAACCACTCACAGTCAGGCAGGGACGTAACCCGAGCTAGGCGGAGTGGATGATGATGATGAAGAGAGAGAGAGAGAGTTAACAAATAAACACAATCATCTTGGACAAAATCCCTCTTACTATCTCACACACACACAACAAAATCACTCCAGCCAAACGACCAAACACAAAACCTAACCCACAGCCAAACAAACGTCATGTTGGCCCGCCAATTTCCGTCGTCGCGGTCCACCAGGTCACACTAATTGGACCTCCAGATTGCTTATAGGCGATCCAGACGAGGTGGTCTCCGGCCCAACCAGCAATCATCGAGTCCATTTAGTACTTACAAGAGCACATTACTGTTCATGCTCTCCTACCTCGAGACACTGAAAGAAACTGATATTATGACTGATGGAGGAATGGTAGAAGGACCTGAACCTTAATATACTGCACGTCAGGAGTGTTTTTTTTAATGTGCATTAGTTTACATATAGTTAATAGTTTACATTGGTTTACTAGTTTATATAGGTTAAATAATACTTAGGAAAAGTAATATACAAAGGCATAATATAGTACAATACCTTCAGGTGTCACAGCAACTCGTCCACTTCTACTTCCAGTATGGAGGAGACACTTCTCATACCACTACAGGGGACTCACTCACAGGTCTACAGTGTTGATTAATTACTACAGGGGACTCACTCACAGGTCTACAGTATCGACACCATCTTACCTTTTTGAATCTGAAGCGTCTGTATGTGGTGTTTAGCGCCCTCTTGAAGGTGGAGTCGAAGGGGTTCTCTGAACGTTCTGGGGCCGGCGGGTACTGGAAGTTCTCCAAGTGACCCAGAGCCTCGTCCTCCTCCCCGCTACTCCTCACCTCAACACCCCTCTCCTTGTTCTTTTTCTTATTGTTCAACTTGTTATTGTTACAAGTGGAGGTTATGGTGAGGTAGTTGTGGGTGCTGGAGTCGTTGTTGAGGACGGGGCTTGGCTCACTGAACACAGCGTGGTCCTGGTGAGGGTCGCTGAGGGCCGTGTGGTCCCGCCGCGACAGATCACCGAAGCCCTGGTCCTCGTAACGGCTACTGCGTGACCTGGACCAAGGGTTGGCCAAGTGGTCACCAGGGGCGTGGATGTGAGAAAAAGCGGGCGGCGTAATAGTATGGTACTTGGACGCCAGGTGGTCCATATTGAGTGGCACCGCATGGTCAAAGTCTGGACGGAAGGGGATGGGAGAGTCTGTGGCGGGGGCGGCCAGGACGGGCGGCTCATTATCACACAAGAGGAAAGGTGGCACGAGCGTGTCCCCGTTATCATGAGTGTGCGTGTGGTCACTGTCCCCGCAGCTCACTAACCCACTGTCATTGTCACTGTCACACCTGGGGTCCGTGAGAGGTAACTGTAGCCGCGTCACCGTACTGGCGGGCGCGGGAGTGGCGGCCGTGTCGCCTAGCTCGTGGTCGTCCATATAGCAACAAGGAAGCCCCGCCCGCACCACATCACAGTCCTTATTATCACTAGTATCACAGTTTGGGGGAGAGTTGGAGAGGAGGCGCGTGATGGGGGGGCCACGAGTGTGTGGCGAGGGTGGCACACACACCACGCTGCCCAATGCCGCCATGTCCGTAGGGCTGGTCCAGCGGGGGGCGCACTCCCCCACGTCTGGCTCTCGCCCGTCGTTGTGTGGCCACATGACCCCCAAGGAGCGGGCCACCTCCTGCGAAAGCACCACCACCCGCGACAACACCTCCGTTAACATGCTAACGTGGAGGACTGAGCTGCGCCATAACCCCGCTCAGGAGCCTAAACCACCACCACCACTGAGGCCTGTGGCGCTCCTTCACACTGACGCCTCAAGTATCACTTCCTGTACACCTTGTACACTCATAGTCTCCTTATTGTCGTATATATAACACCAACCGTGATATAAAACACTTAGACAAATATACTTTTCTATGAACAAATATTTCACCGTTTATAAATTAACCTGTTAAGAAAAATAAAAAGGTCAGGAAAGGAAAATATCACCAAAAATCCCCAAAATTCAATAAATGTTTTGTTTCCAGTAATAAAACAACATCCAAGAGCCCCATTTTACAGAGACACAAATATAACCACAATACCGTACTTATTTATATATAAAAAAACGACAATATGAATCAAACTGTACTCGCCACACCGCATAAAGTTTGCACGAGGGTGAAGTGTGTGTGTTATAAAACAATGATACGTGTTCCATATTCAACACACAGGGGAGCGAACCCCGAGGTATATGACTGTCTGACCCACCTGAGGCAAACACAACCATATTCAATATCTCCCATATAAACTAAACACTTCAGCTGGCATTTCACACAAAAAGTCAAATCCTGTCAAAGTTTATTATACCTCAACCTGGCTTTAAACACTTCTGCTCGCTTGGCTACGTTGCCGGAGATGGATAAATGAAACAACAGTTCAGACCAACACACATAGAGCTATCACAGCGACCACCCACCCACACACATATTCACCGACCCACCTACACCCACCAGCCCATTTACATACATCCACCTCACAACCTCGCCCCCTCCTACTCAAGTGGCGGCTGGCGACGGAGGCGGTGTGGGAGGGGTTGGAGGAACACACTAACTCAATATACAGTCAGTGTCGGCAACTGTGTGGACGGCTCATCAAATCCTCATGAGCTTAATTAAGCCAGTCACTGCTTCCATGTTGGTGCTGAATACCATGCATACTGCGGCTCCCGGATATGCATATGTATGTGGCTTACCCTGGAATATACATGGGAGAGCCGGTGATGTGGGGTCGAGGGATATACAAGAGATCGGGGGGAAAAATAGTAGGAGGTGCATGACTCCTGACTGTGCTCACCGCCCGGGGCTTAGGACATGACACATGGACTTGTTAATATAGCTGTATAGTTTAATGTGTATTCCTCCACTAGTGAACAGGTCATGGGGTATACAAGGCAGACTAACATGGATGGAAGGAAGGACAAGGAAGTGACACCTTTTCCTCCCACGAATTTGAGCGACACACACACACACACACACACACACACACACACACACACACACACTAATTTTTCGGCAGTAAAGTTTAGGATCTTGTTTATATTACCTTTAATTAACCTGCGACGGGAGATCAAATCACTCCTAATGACGCATTATGGTACAATCCACCTACCCCACCCCTCCCATCACACCCCACCAACCCCCATCCCCCCATCATTCTCCCTTCATGGAATTAAAAATAACAAATAATACTGTAAGCCAGAAAGAAGACACACTTCCTGCGGCGTCTTATACACCTCTAATTCATGAACAAACATAACACACTTTCTGTTTGTTAGTCTCATACTAATGCATGACGTAACGGTCACACCAGCGTTCCTACTTCTGGGGAATTTGTCCCCAGATTGGGAAATCTGGACACATCTGGGGACAAATCTAGGGAAATGGGCTTTTGGGAGAATTTCTGGGGAATTTTGAATATTTTGGGGAATAATTAGGGAATTTGAGTGTGTTTGGTTTATATAATACCAATACCAGGTCTCTGAGTCAACATCTTTCCTGAAAACATGGAGAGAACGTATTGTGGGGCTACTACATGGAATGGAAGGATTGGCATCACTTGGGATACCTGCTGATCAAAACTGATCCAAAGCTGCTGAAGCTTGTGCCAAATGTCAAGAGCAATGCTTCCGATTCAGAAGCTCATCAAATCATTGTTGATATACTCAAGTCATAACTCATATAATATCATAAACTCTAAATAAAGTATTGGAATCAAAATTGCTTTTTTTTTAAATTAAGTAGTTAATTTGGTATACATTTATGATTTGACGGATTCTATACCTTAGATTAAGTACCGGTAAATACTCGAAATGTTAGTGGAGTGTTTACTCTTGTCAGAAAAACCAAAACAATAATTTTATTTTGTTTCTGCCACAAATATATTAACAAAATATTAAATAATAATGATAAAACAATAAAACCACAAAAAATATTAAAAACCACAATAAAACTTTCATTTTAAACCGATATATATATATATATATATATATATATATATATATATATATATATATATATATATATATATATATATATATATATATGTGTGTGTGTATGTGTGTGTGTGTGTGTGTGTGTGTGTGTGTGTGTGTGTGGATAATGGATTTGGGGAATTTTGATCCAATCTAGGGAATTTTCAACCTTACTCTAGGGAATTCTTCATGTGAACTTGTGGGAACACTGGGTCACACACCCATACCTCCCTTCAGTGTACACCAAAGGTAACATCCGTGTGGAACTTGGCCAAGGAGCTAAATGGTAAGATGAAGTAAACTTTATAATGTACTTTATATCTCGCGCCTCTAACTTTTAATATATTTTCCAGGCAAAGAAAATTCAGCTAAAAACCTTTTTAAACTTTGGACTTTTATGAAACAAAAAGTTATGATTAATTATGAAACTTCAAATACGGGAACCACTTGGCCGAGTGGCGTCCATCACTGCATGAGAACCTGGAGCTGATGCGCGCACACACACACACACACCAGTAATAATAATAATAATAATAATAATAATAATAATAATAATAATAATAATAATATCATTAATATAAACACAGCAACAATAATAATAATAACGATAATAACAATAACAACAACTACGACCAGAGCCCCCCCCCCCACGTTGAGGGTAATGGATGCCTCGGCTCGGCTGGCCAACATTGCCATGGCAACCCACCTCCACACTCACTTTTTCCCAGGGCGAGATACGCCACTCATAGATACATCCGGCTAGTTTTTAACTAACTTGAAACAATTTCATCCTGACTATCAAAAGTTAGATTAAGTTCGGTCTTACTAATTTTTCTTAATTTTTAAACACAAACCAGAAGTTATTTACAGAAAGAGAATTAACCAAGAAGACTTAACGGAGACTTTAACCACGCCATATATAACTTAACCATGAGATTATAATTGGTTTTAACAGAGTTTTTTCGTCTTCTTCCTGGGTAAAAACAAAACAAGAGTGGCACTACGTCGCTTTGTGTAGGTTTCCTTCATGTGTGTGTGTGTGTGTGTGTGTACTCCCCCACTCACCCACATTTACACACACACACGCCCGCCCATCACCACCCAAGGCCCTCACCTGTTTGCATCTGACCGACGCCCATCAACACCAATTACCCCTCACACACACCACCTCCTAACAGGTACCACAGGTGATTACAGCAACAACGAGCACCTCACTAATAACTTCCACGTGAGTAATTGGTTGTTAGGGAAGAGGGGGGGGGATGTGGTCTAGATACTTTACTGTTTGTATTTTTTCGGAATATCAACAACTTCTGTATGGTACCGTGTTTAAATGTATGTATGTATGTATGTATGTATGTATGTATGTATGTATGTATGTATGTATGTATGTATGTATGGCCCACACTGTCCCACCATACATACACACATTCAGAGCAGTCTCACCATGACATACCAAACAAATAAACAAACACACGCACATACATAGAAACACGCACAAACACAGGCTCATACACAGACACACGCACATACACAAACAAACGCACGCACAGGCTAAAAGACCCTCAAAAAATCTAGATGACAAGGAAGGAATTAGCAGACTGCAGTAAATTGCATCCATGCCAAGTTTCCACTCCATCAAGCTGAAGGTATTGGGGGGAAGAAATGCTCACGAGACCAAGCTGACGAGACCGAGGACACGACCAAGCTGATGAGACCGAGGACACGACCAAACTGACGAGACCGTATCAATAAACATCTTCCTCACTCTGGAAAAATTGCAGAAACGACGAGAACTCTAGCTCACAAAAGGGGATATCTTTCATACTAACCTAACCAAATCTAACCAAACACACGGAAACATTTTAGAGATAAAGTCCGGAAATGAAACTCGGACGTACGGACGACAATGAGAGAACCAAGTTTTTTTTTTATCCCCCTTCCAAACTTAGTTGAGCACGGGATAATAATACACTGAGAAAACTCCCAGACGTGAACAGGAAAACTTCAAATAAGTGAGTGAGTGAGTGAGTAAGTGCGTGAGTGAGTGAGTGAGTGTACAGACTCACTCACTCAGAACTACAACACAATACCACAGGTCCTTGCCCGCCCTCTCTCACTCTGCTCTGTTAACAATACAATGAACACGACTGGTATACCTCCTCTCAGTATACTCCCGCTACGACACACAAAGGTATAAGGTTCCCTAGCGGTGCACGAGTCTCCGGGCGATGGTGTAGCGTCCCTGGCTGGCTTTGAGGAGAGTGTAAGGGGGACTGGGGAAGGTCCCTGCACCTAGGTAACGGAGTCGTGAAGGCCGTCCTGCCCCCATTGCTCTACCCCCTCCCACACACACACACCGACAATAACACACCTCCTCCAACTTCCCAAAATCTCCTACGATATAATTTCTCACCTAACTTGACACAATGCCCTGATTCACACAACTTTGTAACGATATATAAGTCACCAGTGGATGGAGATAACACGCCTCTGAGCCTTGGTACAGTCTCGGTGCAGTTTTGGTGTAATTTAGGTCGCTTGGTTGAGTTGTTTGCTTGCCTGTGATAGTTAAGGACGTCCTCGTATCAGTAGTAAAGGGGTCAATTTAAGAGGTTATATCAGGGGTTAAAAACTGGCATGATATACTCTGGGACATGTGTGTGTGTGTGTGTGTGTGTGTGTGTGTGTGTGTGTGTGTGTGTGTGCAAAAATTAAGATATATTTGGGAGAAAGAGATACCGTGTATCACTCAACACCTGAGTATTGCACCCTGGCATGATATAGTGACGGCAATATAACTCGGCAGGTTGTGACACGCGCCACCAAACACTATTCTCCCTGCATCACGTGAGGCACCCGAGACACGCGTCGACCATTGTAACATCACTAACTCTCTCCTTCACTCTCTCGAGCTCATTATCACACCCAATGCG